AACAACAGGATAGACTGGGTTTTCGAGCCGTAGTTGGCAACCAGAATTTGAACTCTGGCGACTTGTGCAGATTAGGAACTCGCACTACAGAAGGATGCTGAGGATACCATAGACCAAACATGTGAGCAATGACAAAGTTTTAGAGAAAAATGGAAACAAAAAGAAAACTTATACTTAACATCAGGAAGTGACAGCCGAAATTTCTAGGGCACATAATGAGGAAAGACGGATTGGAAAGTCTGATACTCACAGGGTAGTTTGAATGCAAAAGAAAACGTATAAACTACCGAGCCAGTTTGAATAAATGGATGTCGGAACAAAGTTTAGGAGAAATAGCAAAAACAGAATTTATTAAGAGCTACGAAGGACAGGAAATTGTGGAGAGCCATGATCGTCTACGTTCTGAAGAGACAGAGCACACACATAGACAGAGAGAGTCCTTTACCGTACGAAGCTACAAACCCAGAATTGTTAGGAGCACGCATCGTTGCTCGAGAGCTGCAACTCAAGTGACGCTCGTACAGAAAGCCAACAAGGTCAGAATTTTCTGAAGCACAGTTTTTAAATAAAATTCACTCGTAATGATATTTGAACATGCTAATCGATCCTCCAGTAGGTGCCATAAAGTATAACAACACACCCATATTGATTTACTGTATGCAGTTGTTGCCAATAAAAGAAAGTGGAACGCATTTCCAAATATTCGGTTAAAAAACTTTCTCAGTAAGGGAGGTCAATAATTTTGGAACTTTTTTTTCTTACAACGTATTTTTTTGTTGGACACATTGTTAAAGATCTCCCCAACGATAAAGTTTTCAAGGTCGTAGAAATCTCATAGGTAAAAATACAGTAACAAAATTCTCAGTTAATGTGAACTTGAAATCACAAAAGATTTTCCCAGACTGTCTATTTGTAATTTTTGCTACAATACTTTTTTCTTCGGCCAGCTTTCAGAACGCAACACTAACAGGCTCATTCATAGTTTATTTTTTTTTTTTATTTGATGGACGTCTTTCGCGACCTTCAGAAAGATTAACGCAGTAAAAATATTTTCTGGTTCTACAGTCAATTGAACAATCTTTTTATGAAAAAAAAAAAAAAAAAATTTTTCACTATTTTTTTTAAAAACTTCTCCAGTCACCGTAGAAATGTGTTGTCTGAGTACTTTAAAACTATAATTACAGAATAAACAATTGTGGCTCATTTATTATAATGGTAACATTACAAAACGATGAGCCACAATTCAGTTTTATAGTCAGATCTATCTCCTTCGGTTACCTTTCTCAGTAACTTTCATAAAATAAAAAAAATAAAAAAAAAAAAAAAAAAAACAAAAAACAACCTGTTTGGTTGATTCTGACATTAAATAAAAAAGAAAAAAAAGAGAAATAAGTTATAAATTATTGCTGATCTAAGACGTGCTTAATAGAGTAAGGACCAGAGGAATCTATCAAACAAAAAAAAAAAAAAATCAAGACAAAGTTTTGAGGTGAATACTGTGTATAATTAATAATAATAAAAAATAGGAAGCGAAATTAAAATATGTGACAATATTTATCGGAATTCACGGATACTAAAAAAAGTCTTATTCAAATGGGAAAAAATTATTTTTCTTGAAAAACAAGTGTAGCGGAAAAGAAAGTTTCACAGCCAAACTAGTTTTAGACAATTTATTTTAGATTCAAAAATGTCATTTTGAGGGAAAAAAGTGCAAATTAAAAAAATGCACATCTGGTGTGTTCTGTAAATTTGAATAAGTCATATTGACATCCAATAGATGTTATTAAGAGTCAGTATTAACTATTAATACATCATTCCGTTCTTTAATTATCTATGCATCGTGTCTTCACAGGGCGTAAGCAAGTCACGGCTCTCTACTACTTCCTATCCTTTGTAGGTTTAAGGAAATCTGGTCGCATTTTTTTTTATCTCCTAATCCATATTCTGTCAACCATTGACAAATTCGTTATGTGGATTATTAGCAGATTTCCTCTTGCCTTCAATATGTCATGCGTGTCAAATTCTCCGAGCTCCTTTTCTTCATTATGTGCCCTAGAAATGTTCATCTGTATTTTTAATCCTTAGAAGAGACATTTTTGTTCCCCGTCCCCACGCCCAGAACTTCGTCGTTCACATGTTCAAGTCCATGGTAATCCGTTCTTTTCTATAAAAATACAAAAGTGAATTTCTCGTGGCATTATTTAGAGAAGAAAAACGCACAAAAAATGCAGAAATCAAAGGAGTTGGGTTTTTATCCCACCTCCTCCTCCAATGCGATTTAAATGGACACTTAGTAATTCCAGGGTTATTGATATTTCCAGGAAACAAGCATAAATCATGCCTTTTGAAAAGCAGTTATCCCGACATCTTAACGAACCATATTCTTTTTAAATTTTACAGAAATCTGGCAAAGTGACGGTTTGGTAAAGCTAAGTACATCTTTTTCTTTCGCCAGTTCATGTCAGTGTCGTCTGTTAATTTTGTAGCCGTCGGAGTTCAATTACATCAGTTTTTTTTAACTGATCGGGGTTCATTTTTATAATTTAAAACAAAACAAAATGAACGCAAAAATAATGCATTCAGTTATAAAAAGCAATTATCCCACAGTACCCCCACCCCCCAAAAAAAGCATAACAATCTTAGATTTATTTAAAACTAAAAGTGATACCAGGTTAAACAGCTTTGTTTGATTCATGCGAGTGAGAGAATATACATGCTTTGGCTTTCACATCTTGAATTCACGAGTAAGGCCTTTGATAGGCTACTAAACAAGACAGAACGGAACTTCTGGTCCCTGGTAAATGTCGTTATCAAATTTAAAATTTCAATAGAGAAAAAAAATTAGTGGTTAGTCTAATTTCTAATACAACACAGTTTCCAATAATAGGAGATTTACAACATCGGTGATTTTCATGTCAAATTTTCCACTCCTCCTTCAGTCATCCGTAATTAACACTTGGCAGGGGGAAAATCATCCATATGTCCTTGTGAATTCGTTAACTTACTGAGCTAATGAATGTATTCAGCACTGTAAAATAGATTTAAGTTTTTTTTTTTCCCATTAAGGAAGCTACCGTCAAAAAGGAAAGAGCGTAGGTGTAAGTAACAATGAAAATTGAAAACTAACGGGTATTTTTTTTTTTTTTTTTTTGTATGCTTAACCGGGTGGAAGTGTGTGTGTGTGGGGGGGGAGCAAATGATAAGATCGATACCTTTCTATTTCTAGTGTACACTGAGGCCGGTTTTGGAAGAAAGTAGCAGGGGTAAAGAAGACAAAAGATGGAATTTTTTAGCCTGTGAAAGAAATATTTTTTTTTTTTTTTTTTTTATGGCGAGCTGAAAATATTAAATACTTCGACCTTTTTGGAAATTGACACTGACCACACAAACTTAGATTCTCGTTTCCAGGACAGAATCGTCGCCTCCTCGACTGCTGCTGCAATTAATACCCACGCCACCGTTCGATTTTTTTGTGAGAAGAATGTAATAAATAAAATACAGTTTAAAAAATAAAATGAGACGCGATTTTAAACATTCCACCGGCAAAGTAAAACTAAAAGTGAAATTTCGAGAAATACGTTTGTTTGACTCCCCCACGAAGCATACACTTTAAGAGTGTTGTAAATCGTCTAGCGAGGGTTAAAAAATGCTTATCGATATATTTTCTCTTCCTTTGGTCATTGCATAAAAAGCATGCAAACCACGTGGTTTATAAATAATTAATTCCTTTCACACTTGCGTGTGTGCAGGTTTACGTAAAAAAATACTGAATGCAAAAGGGGTTAATGTCAGAGTAGAAGGCGTCAGTTTCAAGAAGGAAACTAGTTGGACATCTTAAGACTTAAATATCTCATGGCGTTATTTTATTTTTGGGATTTGTCGAATCATAAAGGAGATTAAAAAATGTAATAAAAAACTAATTTGTTTTTAAGTTGTCACTTCATTTGTGAAATTTCAGTTCATAACTTGTGTAGATCTCAGTATGATGACTTAAATATTTTCAATTAAAGTGAATTTCAAAAAAAACCTTTCTGTATTTAGTAGTCATAACTAATTATGAGAACTGCTTTGATCCACAGATTCAAACGGAAATAAAGACGAAAATATTATTTACTTTGAAAAAGAGCATATTTCTGAATAAATAAACCATTATGAAAATGGTTTCCCCGACTCACACCTTTTTTATTATTATTCGTAAAAACTATATGGGGAGGGGTGGGTCTTATCAAAACGTCAACAGGTAGAGAGGGAAGGTGATGGCTCGGTTCACCGGGTCTTGTAGTAACGTAATGTTTCGTTTGTATGTGTGGAGAGATGTTACGCCAGCATGTGAATCTAATTTCACATCAACTTCATTCATTCATTGGAATTACACACACGCACGTGCCCCGAGAATCGTCAAGACAACACCGGCAGACTAAAAAAAAAAATCTAATGCTTAGAAGCAGACATCAAATAAAGAAAAAATATATAAGAAAAAAAAAAAAATCGCACGCCTTTCTTTTTTTTTTTCTTTTTCCTCTCGGCACATTAACCAGGTTTCTTAATTTATGCAATTCAAAAACGGCCGATTGAGGTGTGGGAAGGTTATCCAAAAAATCAATAAATATAAATTCTATGTCCAAAACAATCGATTAAAAACAATGAAATGAAAGCAAACGGCAATATGGATTATTATTATTTTTTTTTTTTTTACAAGTTATTTAAATGTGAAGATAATATCGATTTTCAAAGAAATATTTACGTCTCGGAAGCATTTTCTCTTTGAATAAAAATTTTACTTACTGTAAGTACACTTTACTGTTGTGTTCTGCTAAGTCAAAATGGATTGGTAGGTGAGGAGTAAATTAAATTCTTTAAAATAGCAACAACAGGTGCTTGTTTTTCCCCCTCCTTACAGACACGGTTTACCTGTAGAAAAAAAAAATGCGTTTCAGCTATCCAATGCTAAGGCTCCCGGTTTCGTCTGCAAAATTTCTTTTAGCGCTGATACCCTTGTTATGAAAGAAAGGGTGCTTTTTTTTTTTTCCTGTAGCACTCACACAACCTCGGATTTACGAATTCTTTCTCACTTCTGGAAAGACACATCGAATCCGAGAGACGCTAACATGTCTGTATCATTACTCTTTCTTTATATTCCGACATTACGCGCCACGTCTTATCTACCGTCTTCTTTTACCGCTCCCAACTGTTTTTTTTTTAAAGCATCCAGTATAAATTAAAAATCATAGGCGGGGGACGTTTTTGACGTGTTTTGAAACCAAAGAGAGGCGAGTGATATGTAATAAATCTTGAATACGAAGAGGGTTTTTCTCAGCCGTTGTTATAACAAGACTACACCACCGACCGACTCAACATTACATTTTACTTCCTCATGAAAATCCTCTGCAGACCTTACTCTCCCTACTGTACTTTCTCTTTCTTTTCTCCACGATCTCAGCTTCTTTTCTTTTTTTTTTTCCTTCTCCAAATGAATTCCTTCTTCTTTTCTTTCCCGCCTTCCTTCTTTATCTTTCCTTCTCTTCCTGCTGCTACACCAGCACGCACATGGTTGGTACTTCTTCGTTCAACATCTTTTCACGCGCGCACACTCATGAGTCACCTACGCACAACAACAGCGTGCATTCTCTCTCTCTGCTTCTACAATTCATCAACACACACAAGGAATACACGTTCTTTTGGGTACGACTCTGTCGTTAAAGCGGAGTATTGACACTAGTTCTACCCCCCTAATGAATGGTACGTTTAATATTAAAAAAAAAAAACGAAATAAAGCTGCCATCATTTTAAATAAAAACAAACTAATTGTAAAATCACTACTAAAGAAACGTAACGCCTGTGAACCGTTACGGTTTAACACGGAAAGAACTTGACGAACAACCTTTAACTTAGAAAGTAAAAAAAGTAAACTAGTCATTATCAAACCAGGATTTTTTTTTCATTTTTTTTTTTTACTGCTTTTTTTAAACCATGTCATTTAAGTAGACGATCATGGGTCTCTACAGCTTTCTTTGCGTGAATTACTATGACATTCTGTGAAAGATGGAGAAATTTCCCGTTACCTTAAAGGTTTGGTGTTTATTCTAAGTTGCCCTTCTCCTAAACCGGTTGCTACAAAGATAAAAAGCTCTGTGTATCCGACTATTCCTCATAGCTGGAGACAAGAGAAGAGTTGATTTATGCTTTGAACATAATTAGAGACTAGGCCGGAATTTGAACACTGTCCGCCGATTTCACTTTCTGCACTGTTACGCTAGAAACATCTATTTTTTTCCCCTCTTAATTCCAGGTTAGTGAATAAAATTCATCATCAGCAAAAAATAAGTAAACCGGCGCGCGCAGGTTAAGTTCAGTAGTTGGAGCAACAGAAAAAAAATCGTCCCTTAAACTTGATTCTTCAATGGTGTTTTTTTTTTTTTTTTTTTAAATTTTGCGCTCAAGAAACCAAAAAATCAATTACACAGAAATATTTATATATAAAAAAAAAAAAAAATCTATTTCCACGGTCGGTATAGAAAAATTTTTTAATTCATAAGATTATTCTTCTTGACAGTCTCGTTGCATTGAAGTTGATTGTTGTGAAAAAATTTGAATTTTTCGTCTGTCGGACAAGTAGCGTTGTATCGCTAAATGGCCGTAGTTAGTAGTAGTAGTACCATGAAACTCCCGGCCAGGTGCCGGCCTGAACAGTATGAAGAATGGTAATCAGTAAAACTTGCTATAACACTACTTAACATGCTAGCTAACAACACGAACAGTCTTACAGGTATCTGTGTATTTAAAAAGGGCAAAAAGAATGGTCTTCGTCAATCTTTTACAGGTTCATACCTGTAAAATAAAACCCAAAGCTAAACAATTTATGCACAGATGATAAAGGAATGTGAAAACGAAAAGTAGGCCTATATAATTTAAAAATTTCTCTTATAATAAGAGAAAGACTCTTCTTATTCCAGTTCGTTTAAGGTGCGCGCAAATTAAAGGTTTGCCTGATGGAGGTGGTAGTTTTTAATTAATGTGCCATCTTATTTAGTTTAAAAAAAGCTAGATTGTAAACATTAAGGAATCTACCCAAAATATTGGGCAATTATATATATATATATATATAATATATATATCTCAACACGCAAAAATGAAATTCACTATTGATATGCAATTACATAACTGACACTATTTTTTTTTGTAACCACAACGTAGTAATTTATTTTTTATTAGTATGTTGTTAACCAAATCATAAAAAGAATATTTCTACTAATGGTTAAGAAAAAAACGGACAAAAAGATGTCCCTGAATCTTAATTAAAGGATAAAACCAATATTTTTTTATTTATTTATTTCACACTCGACTTAGTCAGGCCAAATATATAGGTAGAAAGATTGTGTTGTGCTTGTAGGCTTGATCAACAAGTTCCTTTATAATAAACGATTTTTAATGCTTTATCAAACCTGGTAAAGGACTAGAATTATGGGACACCTAGCGAGGAACGACTACACTACAGCTGTCCAGTATGGCTTTATTGTAAGAAAACCTCTCTAATTCTATCCACGACGATAGGTCCGAACCAGTGGAGTGGACCAACAAGATTTCGTGATCCAAGAGTTTGTTTCAAAAATTACAATACTGTTGTTAAAAAAAAAAAATTTAGAAAATTGTACGAATAAAATGAAAAAGAAATGCCCATTTTCCGAGAAAAATATATCGGAGTCGGACCATTGCATCAACGAACGTAAATTCGTCTCCAAGTGTATTTTCATTATATACGTCTGCTGTATTTGAGCTGCAGAAACATAGACGACAGTCGTTTTGTAGTCCATGTTTCATTTAATAAAAAGAAGGGAACAAATATCAGTCAAGGAAAATACGAACAAAAATAATCTGAATCTTTGGTAAAAAATCTTCCCCGTTGATAGAGGCACACGTGTCACAGTGCACCCAACTACACGTGTCACACGTATGACATCATGTATCCCATCCATAGCTTCATTGTTCAAACAGATACGTTCGTTTTTGTTTTTTTTTTTTGGTTTTTTTAATTTTATTTTTAAAGAGAAATCAAATGTCTAAATTATTTTAAAATTAAACTGGCCAGCGTTTCATAAAAATGAATTTCAGAAATATTGTCATTTCATTGCCATTTCTGTGGATCAACAGGGGCACCTCGATGGTGGTGTAATGGTTAGTAAGCTTGTCTCGCTAGAACAATTACGACTGAGTAGTGAGTTCGATCCTCACACTTTCGGCCTTAGGCCACATCTGAGTTACGCTTGGAAAATCACTTTCTGTGGATCAACAGAATACATTTGTGTTGTTAAAATTAACCATTGCTTTTTTTAGTGCTAAATTTTTTTACACTACCATTCTCTTTTTCTGTTTTAGAATGTGACAAAAGTCCAAATCGGACTTGAATGAAATTGAATAGATTATTTATTTAATTAGAATTTTGGAGCGACACGAAAACTCTCTTTCTCTCTTTCTTCCACTCCATGATTATTTGTTCTCCCTCTTCTTTCTTTCTTATCCCAAATGTAGAGTCACCAATTTGTAGAATGACAATGAGAACAGAAACCACGTAATCAATATTGTTAATTACAATTCATAATATTATAATTATATGTCATTTGTATTGCCGTTATTGTGTGTTATTATGTGTACGTGGCCGAATGGTTAAAACGTTACCATTCTGACTATGAGACCCGGGTTCGAATCTCATCAGTTGTTATCGGACTGAAGAGGTCGATCCCAGTGTATTTGGAAAGTGTCTGAAAACCATACCACTGGTTGACCCAAGCCTCATGAGTGAAATTGGGTAGACAGAACCCTTGGGAGCCGTCGATAGCTGTGCTAGCACGGTCACAAGTCATAGTTTCCGAGGGCTTGAGCGTGCTGGCCTTGTTCAAATTCTTATTACGCTAGATAACACGCTCTTTCCCAGAAACTGCAACTAAGGTCTGCTCAGTATAGTTGCAGTATAAACCACGGGTGGGCTCTGTGGGTTTTGAATAAACACAAATGCGCCTGTGCAAGCGTCTGCAATAGGGATTGGCTAGCCGGATAGACGGGTCTCCTCGAATACGAATGTCCAGCTATACATACATTGTATGTTGATTTTTGATATTGTTCATTAGCTATTGGTTGGTTGCAAAACCATTGAAAAATACCACAGTTTAATTTACTCTTTTTTTCCCACTTTTTAAACCGTTTCATTGAAACTTGATTAGATTACGCGTTTCTCTTTTGATAGACTTCATCAGATCAAAAACGAAAGAAAGAAATGTATGTGTGTATTTGTGCATATGCTTAAATAATAAATCATTAGTACTTTTTCCGCTAAGCTGGTGTTTCTCGTGATAAAAGAAAAGAATGAAATTGTGCGACTTTGTAAAATTCCGTTAATATTTATTCTGTATCTTTACAGTTTTCTAGTTCTTGTTGAAATTTACTTATAGACTCTCCCAGCTTTTCTGCATTGAATTTAAGGTAAATCCTCGTCCTGTTTTCAAAATGACTGAAAAGCAAAAATTCATATAGCTTTTGACTTCGTGCCAAATTTAATAGTACAGATTTAATATTTTTAATGACGCTAGTGAATTTTGCCAAAACTCTTCTGGTTTTTCATCTTTCATTTAGGTGGTTGCATCTTTTTTGAATGTGTAATTTGGACTTGTTTCCAAACTGTATTTTAAACCATTTTTTAAAAGAATTTTTTTTACCTTCTCAAGGGTTTTTTTGATAATTTAAAGTTTGAATTATATATCTTTTTATGAATTATAATTCTACATTTTGAACTAATTATCTTGCCTTTAATAAAGAAGCCACACAAAAATAAATTTTTGTGCAAACTTTTTTGTAAAATTTGTTTTTATGTCTATGTAATAAATGTTAATATTTAACAGCTCCGCCCCCACCCACGAGGGATATATGTGGCACAAGGCTGAGTTTACCGTGGGTTCTCCGAGCCCGTAGGCTCGGCCAAAACTATTCTCTTAGAACCCGCATAAATGGGTTCAGGGCCTGTCTACCTCCCCGGACGAAACTTTGCCTTTCGGCAAAGCCTTGTCCGGGTTCCTCTTTGCTCAAGGCAGAGAGTTCGACAGTAATGGACAATCTATTCACTGTCTATGTAATAAATGTTTGTTCCTTACAAATTTCACATCGAAGTTTCGAGTCTTGTTTGCTTTGTATGCCTCTTATTCTATAACCCGGATAAAAGAAGTAACCTTTCGTATGTGCACTGAACATTGCTGCCATATCTGATGTGGTGCTCCTGCTATATACAACAACATTCTAGACAAAATCCAAAGAAGGGTCTGTAGTATTATCGGTCCTAATCTGGCATCTTGACTTCAGTCACTTTCTAACCAACGTGACGTGGCTTTTCTCTGTATTTTCTTTAAATATGTTCATTACAGTTCTCATGTATCTCGACCAAATGAATTTAAACGTACTACTAGATTGGCAATTAGGTCTCATCGCTTTACTGTTGACATAGATTTAACCGTAAGTTCTATTCTAATAGTTTCTTTTCTCGCACTTCTCGTCTGTGGAACTCTCTTCCAGTTTCTTGCTTCCTTATCACCTACAATCTTCAAAATTTTAAATGCAGCATCAATTGCCATCTTCTATCTCTCTGAAATGTGTTCTTTTATTGTCCTTTCTCCACACTAAAGTTTTCTCATTCTTTTTCACTCCCAGTAACCCTTTGAATCTTAGTGGCAT